TGAGAGATGTGTGTGTGGTGTTTGTGGAAATGTGTGTATGGTGTGTGTGAGATATGGGTGTGGTGTGTGTGTGTGAAATGTGTGTATGGCGTGTGTGAGAGATGTGGGTGTGTGGTGTGTATTTGAGCATCTTTGGCCTGAGTTGAAACATCTATGCGTTTGTAAAATGGACTTGTACGTTCTTTGTTTACAGAAGAAAATATGGTTGGCACTTGAACAACTCAGGAGTTGGGGACACTGATTCCCCTCTGTTTCTCTGTTCTCATTGATGTGACCAAATGCCTGCTGAGAAGCAACTTGATGTAGGGTGCACACTGACTCTCAGTTGAGGGTGTAAAGCCTCCCTGTGGGGGGAAAAATGGTGACAGGAACTTGCCAACTTGATGATATTTAGAATCACCATGGAGACCCAGCACTGGCTGTGTCTAGAGGGTGTTTCTAGAAAGTTTAACTGAAGAGCCCCACCCTGAACGTGGGCAGCACCATTCTATGGGTGAGAGTCCAGGGCAAATCCAAAGGAGAAAGTGAGCTGAGCATCAGCGCGCATTTCCCCTGCTTCAGGCCAAGGAAATGCCTCACGTTCCTGACACCACACCTTCTCACAGGAAGGCCTCGGATCCCTAGGAGCAGAGGAATTCTCATCTAGGGAGGGATAGCTTTTCCCTCTTTGAACTTATGGAATCTGAGTCCTAATTGAAGTTGCACTGAGATTAAGGGCCGTTGAGACAGCTGCTGACCTTGGCTCTCTTCTCGAGTTTATCCATCTTCTTCACCACAGTGTAGGCTGGCCTTGCCCAGTGACCAAAGCCCTGTGAAATCACATTTCTATCACAGTATTTACACAGACTGACTAGCTTAAGGAAGGCCTGACCCTGGAGCTTCTCCTATTTCTCCTTCACTGTTCTTTCTGGTAGTTGTACCATGTGGAGGTGACCTACAAGGCGATTAGCGCCTACACTGGGCATAAGATGGTTGCAAGCTGTCTTAAGCAGGGACATCACCAGGGCCTGTAATGTTGCTATCTCCACAAGCCTTCCCCATTCAACAGCACCAACAAAACCTATCTGTTTCCAGCGCCGACACAAGGAAGCTACCCCCAGATATTTTTCTTCCGTACAGTGGTCGGTACTTCATAAACTTTTTTCTTGATGTTCTCTAAACATTTATGATGACAGTCTTGTTCCTGCCATGACCAAGTGCCATTAACATGGGTCTTCCTGGGCCACCCTTTTCTGCCCTTCTATGAGGTGACTTAGATTTGAGGATAAAGTAAATGCTGGGCTTCCATCATGCTGCACGGTGATGACAATTGGTGACTTGGGTTGGGGTTCACTCAGCCCAGGATGTGATGGCTTTGAGAGGGATGCTCAACTGTACCTGAGTCACTTCCTGCTCTAGCTTGGCAATAGAACTGTTTAGCATTCAGCTTTGATTAGCCTCCCATTGACCAGAAGCCCAACTGGTAACAGAAACAATTGATTACTTCATATTTTTCTTTCATATGTGTAACATATGCTGAAATGTGTGCAAGCCAGCAGAGGCCACTTTTATTGTTAGGCACAGTTTATTGGAAACATTACTGGTCCCAGGAGAGGAAAGGCATCACTGGTTTTAAGCAGACATTGGCCACTCTTGTCACCCGACAATAGGTGATTGTGTCTAAGTTTCTACACTAGTACAAAATGTATTAATAAATTATAGTTTTATACT